CCCCAAAACCCCAAAACCCCAAAACCCCACTATTCAATTATAGCCTAACATTTACAGTAATTAAAGTAATTAAGAATTCAAACATAATAGAGTCATAAATTAAGTATCTAAGTTTAAGCTTATTAAAACTGTGATAATCAAGAAAAATATTAGCATCTTGCTATTATCTAACCCCATCTAAGGGGTCTCAGAAGAATTTTTTAGTCTTTAATTTTTCGATAAGCTCAGCCGTAATTTTAGGGAGCTTGACTTTATCTTTGGCCATCATGCCTCTTAATTTAAAGATTTCTTTTTGGCTGTGCTTGTTGACGTACTCCTCAAGTTCCATGAACCCGCCACCCACTCTGACCATGAGCACACCATTTATTATCTGTGCATTGAGTAACTTTGTACCAAATAAGTATCTGCTTTCATCTATGTAGTTAATTGGCACTTTAACTTTATGAGTTTTAACAAAATTTTCAAGCATTTTATCTATTTGATCTTCTTCCACGACAGCTTTGTAGTTAAAATTCTTATTAAATGGATCCTAAAAAGATTAAAGCGATCCAGCATCACTGACATCACTATTTCTTCTGTTGCCAGTGAATCTTGGCACTGAAGTCTTTATATTGGTCATTGAATTCCTTCCAACTATATTCAGCTATGACTTTCTTTAAGTGTTTTGCTTTGAAAATTGAGAATTCGTAGACGAATTTATTCTCTTTAGAGCAAGGTTGTTATTGAGAGTCTTCCTAAATTTAGGAGTGATGTCGTAAAGACTCTCATTGCTCATCTATCTATTCATCGTCTTCGCATTGAAAGTATTGTTGTTCAAGTTATCAAACAAAGAGTTCTCATTGCTGATGAGTGAACTTCGGTTTAGATTAGCATACTAGCTTTGGTTATCATCATTTTCAATCATTTGACTTTTGTTGCCTGATTAGTAACTACTTTGCACTGATTAAGATTATTGCTCATCTTCATCACTCACATAACTTTAATTAGAAGAATCATTCATTTGTCTGCTTGATTGCTAATCCTCTTTGGTATTACTGCTAACAATGCTATCTTTCTGTACTCTTGATCTCCTGAGAGATGCTTTAATTGACATTTTTAATTTTTCAAGTTTGAGTCTTTGCTCTTATGTAAGAAACGTTTATTCTGCTTACTCTGTATTCTCATTATCATTTTAAAGGGAAAATAAAACCTATTAATGAGAGCTCTCTACACCTTCCTTATACTCCTCTTAATATACTTATTGAATCAAGAGTGAATTTCTCAGATTTTAATCCTCTCGTTCAATGTATTAAGGATCTTGATCAGAACTTTAATCTTGATTTTGTAATTCATTTGATGGATCTTAAAAAATAATGCTTTTTTACAAATTAGGAGTCTGAATTGGCTTAAATAATTATCTTTAAAATTCCTATTAAATATCGTCCAATACTAATGATTCTTTATTTGATTTCTCATAGCTTGAAGACATTCTGTTGATCCTTGAGTTATTTCTGCTTTTATTAGCAAATTTATCTGAACTTATGGGTATGGCACTAATGTCATTGAAATCTATCAAAGTCCTCTAAGTTATATCATCATTTTAGTGAGAAGTCATATTAGTGTAATTGGTATGCTAATTAGTTTCATTGTTTGTATTTTGATCACTGAATTTTGGTGACAGTTTTCGATTGATAACATCATTATTATGTTCTTGAGTTTCTTATTTGAACTTCAAATTGATGATATCACTTTCATCTATTTTGTTTACCTCTTACTTAATAACTTTCAGAATTTAAAGATCTCTGGCGAATAATTGATTGACTATGGAAGTACTTTCGTTTGAGTTTTTCATAAAATTGTCCAACCTCATATCCTCCGTGAAAGTACCTAGAGTTTGATCTAGATTCCCATGGTCATAGGTTTGCAAAGTCTAATCAAGTTTTTGAATAATAATTGACTATTATCTACTGCTTTCATCTGGCAGACTTGCTTTACTTTTTGGCTAGACTCCGTAACTTGGCGGTTTTTAATCGAAATGATCCATTTACTGGAACATACTAGGTGGCTTGACAATTGACTTGCGGGTGCTTCCTCGTTTCTGTAAATTAATTAAGAGGTTTAATTCATACCTAAAGGGTAATATCAATTCTTGTATTTGTGGTTACCTTAGTACAGCAATTGCCCATTTCACGATTATTAAATTAAAATTTTATAATTCAATTAAATTGTTGATTTCTCATAAATAAAAGACATTCACTCTAACTAATCATTCGTAATTGGTGATCCTCATTTGGTAGTCAATTTATCTACAGTCCTTCTTCTTTTGACTGGAAGCTCTAGGTTCTTTTGCTTTTGATAATACTGAACAGTCTTCTCTTCTGCACCATACTTTAAAAGCAACTCAACCAAAACTGACCTATATTTTCTCTTGTAGTCGATCATTAATCTCTTAATCTTATCAAGCTCAGTGTCTTATATTTTGTTGAGATAAACATCTAGCTTTTCAAAACCTCCTCCAACTCTGACCATGCACTACTCACCCTTGATTATCAGAGTCTTGCACTCAGTTCCCATAAGATATTTACCAATGTGAATTCTAATAACAGGAAGGACAAATTCGTTTTCATTCACTATTTTGCTGACAACTACATCTATATTGTCACTTTTGACAGCATAATATCTTGGATAGCTTTTTTTAGGACTAGTATCTTAAGGAGCTTCGTAATGCTGAGGTTCAAAAGTCTGCTATACTTCATCTTCTACCTCCATATCTGCAGTCTCATTCCCTGGTAGAGTCTCTGCAGGGGTAATAAATGGCTTCTTTTCTATTTTATCACGTCTGTTCGCACAGCATGCTCCTCCCATCACAATAAAATAAAACGAATTATTTTTAAATTGCTTAGTAACATAAAATATTGACCTCAAGGGGTTTTGGGGTTTTGGGGTTTTGGGG